GCAGGGATTAACAGGTGTACCACCATGCCTGGTCTGACTAATACACTTCTTTTTTTTTTTTTTTTTTTTTTTCCTTTTTATTGGTACCAGGGATTGAACTCACGACTGCCTGCTTGCAAGGCAGGCGCTTATGCTGCTGAGCTAAATCTGTAGCCCTACTAATACACTTCTTAAACTGAAAATGTATGTGGCAGAATTTGTGTGTGTGTGTGTGTTGCTGGGAATTGAACCCAGGACCTCATACATGCTAGGCCAATATTCTGCCGAGCCATGTCCCCGGCTTATATGGCAGGATTCTTGAGTTTCTCACAAAGCCTCTTCCTCCCCTCGAATCTTCTTATCACCCATTTATACATTAAACCCACCCTGCCCTCTTTTCCTCTAACTCATCAGCAAGTTCTGTGGATTTTACCTCCTAAATATGTTTAGAAAGTTGTAGTATTCAGTTTTTCATTACCATAATAAAATACCTGGGACAAAATATTTTACAAAGAGGTTTGTTTAGCTCAAAATTTTGGAGGCTAGAAATCCAGACCGCCTAGTACAGCTTCTGGTGGAGGTCCCCAGGGCTGCATTCATCATGACAGGAGGGACTGCATCTCTCTGGTCTGTATGGCTTCTGTCTTTCTGTTTATAAAGCCAGAAAAATTCAATCATGGGGGCTCTACCCTAATGACCTAATCTAATCTAGTCACCTCATAAAAGTCCCACTCCAAACAGTGAATTAATTTTCTAATCTCTGGCTTTGGAGATTAAACTCCTACATTAGTTCAAGGGACAAACCATATTCAGTGCATAATGGAAGGAATCGTCTTCCCCTTACCCGCCATGGGCTCTGGCCACATTGCAGCCTGAGGGACCACTTAAAGTATCAGTCAGAGGATAACACTTCCCCCCACTCAAAAGCTTCCAAAGCCTTCCCAGTCCTATGTAGAATAAAATCACCCTCCTCAGCATGGCTAACAAACCCAAATGACCTAGCCCGGTCACTGCTTCTATTCCTTGCACTCATGAAACCCTAGCTTGCCTCAGGTCCTTTGTCCCCTCCCCTCACTTCGTCTGGATGCTTATCCCCCCAGCTAGCTCCTTGCTGCTCCCGATGAAATGTCCCTCCTCTTCCTGTTTACCTTAGTGTCTCCTCTGCCCATCCCTGCTCACTTCCTTAACATCAACTTTTGCACCTCGAGCATTATATCTGGCTGCTTATCTGTATTTTGCTCATCTCCCTCATTAAATGGGAGCCCCAGGAGGTATTCTCACTACCTAGTTTCCAGGGCTAGCCCACTTAGTTGTACAACGAATTTTGCCGAGTGAACAAATGGATGGATGAATGAATGTGACAGACAATTACGACGTACAGGTGCTTTCGTGTGCATCAAACTGTCTCATTTTCATAATGCCCTAAGAGTTTATCACCCTGGTCTACCTTTCCCAACCTCCCTTGTGTATTAACCAGCTTTTCTGCTGCTGGACACAATAGCTCACACCCGTAATTCAGAAAAGGAGAGGCTTAATGTGGCTCCTGGTTTCAGGCCACAGTCAGCCCATTCCAAGGCAGGCACATCAAGGCGAAGGGGCTGCTTAGGTCATGGCAGCTGGGAGTCAGAGCAGGACAACAGTGCCACAGAGAAAGCAGTCAGGGACCACAACAGTTCCCACAGCCACAGCTCCAGGATCCACTTGATACACCCAGAAGTGTGTTTCACTAAACCCCTGGGCAGCCCAAGCCAACCATGCTGACACAAGAAGTTGAACCATCATACCTCCCAATCAGCTGTACTGACCTGCACACACAGGCAGGGATGAAAGGGCCATTTCCAGTCTGGGCCTATCGGCACCGTGCATGTGATCACCATTCTCTTCTTTGTCTGCCAGCTGGATGCAGAAGATCCAGCAGTGGGCTCTGAGGCCCTGGGTGATGACAGTCGCAGGATGGGAGGAATATGTATCCCTGAAAGACTTCCTGGAGTACACTTTGCACAAGTAGACAGAAGATTCCACTGTGTGGAGCCACTGCAATTTCCAGGCTTCTTGTTACAACCTCTTGTCTCATCTTAATACTTCAAAACCCTGTACGTACGTGGCGGGTGAACAACACCATGGGTGACACTTTCACTGATATACAACACAAGCTGAGGGTGCATGGCTTCCATTTCAATAATGGCACATTGTGCTTCGTGTTTGTGTGAGGGCTCCCTGGTCCCCACCAGCCTGTGAGCATCTGAGCCCAGCATCTGGCCCCAGAAGGCCAGTGTGTGGAAACTCGCCATTGTCTGACTACCTGCTTTCCTCATTTCTTTTCTGTCCCAGAAGGCACTTGGGAAAGTCAAACTCTTTACTCTTACAGAGGCCAGAAGAGGAGAAATGACTTCCCCAGGGTCGCACAGAAACAGGACGTGACAGCATCAGTCTGCTCCACCTTGCTAAATGTGGCAGCTGGATGGCTACTCAGGGGTGAATTCTGGCACCTTCCAGGGGCTGAAGAAAGGCTGGGAGAGGTTCGTAGGGCCTTTGGGGGCAGACACAATCTCCTCCAAGTCCCCGAGATGACCTCACCCGCCTCTCTGCCCCATGCCCCTCCTCTAGCCGCAGAGATAAACTCCCACCCACCCTCCCAGCCGCTCTGCTTGGCTCCCACAGCCTGGGCGTCCACATCACTCAGTATTTTTAGCTTCACCACCTGGCACCTGTGGTCACTGTCTCTGCCCAGCCTGGCAGTGTCCCCTCCCTAGGCCTTAAAGGGCCAGAGTCCACCAGCTAGAGAGGAAACCAGCTCCTGAACACAGACCATCCTACCCCAGAGCTGGAGGGAGAGGGATTTCTCCTATGGAGGGGTCCCCAAAGTAGGAGGTGGGAGACAGAGGGAAGAGGAAGGAGGGGTGCGATCTCCTGGCTGCCGGATCCGAGACCTGTGCCAGTCTTGTTCTGGGACTTCACAAATTCTGGTTTGCTGAGCTGCTGACCGGAGACACCGATTGATGTTACCCATCTGTCTCTTGTACACCTGACACCAACAAGACTCTGGGGAGGGTATGGGAATGTGTGTTCTCAACAGTCAGCTCAGAGGGGTCCAGGGCCCTATCTCTGTGTCATATTCACTTACTTGTTCATTTGACAAGTATTCTGAGCTCCCACTGAGAAAACAGTGGCTCTACCACGAGTGCTGGCTTGCAGTTCAAGAAATACTTCTGCTCCTCTACCTTCTTCGAGCCCCCTAACCCACCCACCTGCATCTGGCTTCCAGCCCTCTCCACAGTTGCTCCGTGGCCGTTGGATCAAGGCCTTGGCTCATGAGCCAAGGTCATTGTGATGGTGACCCCGCTCTCCTTGCTGTCCTCCCCTCCACATCCCTCCCCAACTTCCTTTTCATACACTGTCTTTGCTCTCTCTTGCTGTTCCCGCACTTGTCATGCTTTGCCTTGCCTTCTTTTGTCTTTTTTATGGAACTTGTTATCCAACCTAGGGCCTTCCACATGCTATGCAAGTGCTCTGCCACCAAGCTACATCCCCAGCCCTTCTAGAAGGGTGCTTTGAGACAGGGTCTTACTAATTTATTTAGGCTGACCTCAAATTTGTGATCCTCCTGGGTAGCTAGGATTGCAGGTGTGTGCCATCATGCCTGGCAGCTAGGCCAGGATGGAGGTGAGCTAGTGGAAGGGAAGTCTAGAGAAAGTTTCACCGAAGGTGAGTACTGGGGAGCAGGGTACCCTGAGAGAGCCTCTATACCGTCAGAGAGATCTCCTACAGATCCTGCAGAGCTGTCCACTCTTTTCCTGATGCCCAGGGCACTGGGTATCCACTCCCACCATGACCCTTCAGTTTGTGCCCAGGTCATCTGCCTCCTACTCTGTCTCTACTACCAGGCTAGGACCCTGTGAGGCTGGGGCCTGGGCTCCTGTCCCCAGCTCAGGCCCTAGTGCTCTGTGGGGGCTCAGGCACTGAACCACGTGATAAACTGACAACTTCAGCAGGCAGCATCCTCCCATTTCACAGATGAGAAGACAGAGGCCCGCAGAGGAAAAGTGACAGACCTGGGTCCAACCCAAAGTCAGGGAGGAACCTAATCCCAACTGCAGGAGCCACACCCCGCTCTCCTGGCCTGCAAGGAGCCTGGAGAGGACCTGGCATGGCCTGTATCTGCCCCCTCCTTGCCCAGGGAGTGCTGACTCAGGCAATGAGAGTGGTGTGGGCGGCCAGGCTGCAGCAGAGGTGACTGCTGTCAGATTGTCCATCCATTCCTGGGGCCTGTGGTCATAGCTTGGATAATGCACTTGGCTGGAGCCCGGGTTTCCCTGAGGGAGGTGCCAGGGTGGGAAGAGCTGGGAAAAGGGATCAGAGATCTAGGGTGTGAGCCCTAGCAGCCCTGTGCACAACCCTCCTAGGTGCTCATGCCTGCCTCCACACACCTGCACACACACATTCACAGTCACCCCCAAATACCCCATCACACAGCCACTTAAACCTTTATCTTCTCTCCTTCCCTCTTTTACACACACACACAACACACACACACACACACACACACACACACACAGTTTCACTTGTTAATTCAACAAAGACAGTATTGGAAGGAAAGCTCAGGGTGGGCCTGGGCCTCCAGAAGGCCTTCCTGGAGGAGGAGGTGTCACGAGCAGCTAGGTCTGGGTGCAGGAAGCCAGACGGGGAGTCCAGGGAGTTTTAGCAGTGACTGTTTGGGAACAGGGGAGGGACGTGGGGGTGTTAGCCAGACACATAGACCTTCAGTGCTCGGTGAGTCTTGGTTTCATCCTATGGGGATCAGGGAGCCATGGGGACTCTGAACAGGGGAAGAACATGCCACAGTGGGAGAGGACAGGAAGATCACTATGGAGTAGGGTGGGAGAAATCTTTAGTGACCACCATGCGGCGGGCCGGGGATCTGAGCAGGAAGGTGCAGGTGGGTGGCGAGTGGCAGCCCCACAGGTGTCCACAGGCAGCCCCTCCAGGCCCCTCGGCCGCCCACTGCCCACCCTGGCACTGACCTCCGAAGTGGTACTTCCTCCAGCGGCTCCTCCTCCTCCTCCTCCCTGTGGAAGCAGACCAAGCAGAAGGCTGGCACAGTGTGGGTTCCACAGCCCAGGGGCCAGGCCGGAGGCAGCTCCAGGACAGAGCAGGGGTGGCTCGGGATGACCTCAGCAGCATCGTCCCTGGCCAGTGTAGGGGTCCCTGAGCCAGTGTATGCCAGGGTCAGTAGTCTGTCAGCCTCAGTGCCCTGCGCCTGCCCACCTGCCACCTGTGCCTTCTCCCTCAGGTTGCCCGTCTTCTCGGTGGGTGGAAGAGCCTGTGGCTCTGTCTTCCAGGGGCTTCTAGCCACTATGGCTGGCAGATGGACAGAGGTCCTCTCTCTGTCCCAGGTGGAGCCTTCAGCCCCTCTGCTGCACTCTCTGCTGCTGTCTTTCAGAGGCGTGTCTTGGAGGACAAGCCAAGATGACCTGTCCTTCTGTCCATGTGTCTGACCAGCAGTTTGTTCCTTCCTATCAAGCCAGCAGGCACAGAGGTGGCTTCCTTGAGAAAGTTTGTTCTTCTCTGCTGCAGTGGGTGGCACGGGTGGCCTCCAAGAGAGTGGCCTGAGACCTGACGCTGAAAGGCAAGTGATGGCCAGGCAAGGCTGGCCCCGAGTGCCCGCTGTCCCCAGGGAAAGTTCTGGCCCTTGGAGTCAGGTCTGGAGGCAGCTCTGCTCCCTGTGCTCCTGCTCCCTTCTCTGGTGGCCGCTCGGGCTCAGGCTCAGGCGGTCGGTGGCGGGGCTGTGGGTATTAATAGCTCCACATTCACTGGAGAAGCCTGGAGCTTAACTCCTTCCCTGCTGGAGCTGTGGAGGCCAGCGGGCGTGGCCAGGCTGGCCACAGCGAACCAGGCAAGGACAGCACCTCTGTCTGCCCTGCCCGAAGCCTGGCTACCTGGGTGGGACCCCAGTGCCACCTCCTATCCGTGACTCTGTGCAGCACTGGGCACCCAGGTCTCAGTAAACCTCCCTGGCCACCTGGACTCTCCATGCGCACCTTCAGGACACTTGGTGGGACCAGGGGCTTAGGGCAGCACCTCTGGGGTGAGCAGGACTCTGGGCAGCAGGGTGCAACCGCGGTGCTGCTGTGTGAATTAGAAGAAAGCTCTCCCGCCAGCCAGGTGCAGCCCCAAAGCCACAGCTTACAGAGGAGATCTGTGATGGATTTCAGCCCTGCTCACCTCCACGGCTGATTACAACATGCCCAGCCATTCACAGCGCCCCAGGTGCCTCCAGGGAACAAAGGAGAAAATAAATTCAGATAACAAAAAGTGCTGGGAAGAAATAAAACAGGAGGATGGGGGAGAGGGGCCAACGATGGGCAGGTTGTTATGGTGTTCAGGAAAAGCTCGCTGAGGGGGGATTGACACTGAAGCTGTGACTTGCAGGAGGAGGGGCAAGAAGGGAGATCTGGAGGATGTTCCAGGAAGACAGACCAGCAAGTGCAAAAGCCCAAAGGCAGGAACGAGCTGAAGTCTGAGGGGCAGTGAGGTGCGGAGCAAAACTTGAAGCTGGGACAGTGACTAGAGGCCTCTCAGTGGCTTGGGAGGGGCCGTCACCAGCAGTGGGAGCAGCATGCACGAAGCTCAGAAGCTCAGCGGGGTTGTGGTGCGTGATGCCTGGGGCAGGAAGACTGCATAGGAGTCGTGTGGTCAGAGATGTGGAGGTATTCCTTGCAGTACTTCGTGGCTCAGGACTCTGAAGGGGAATTATGGGGGAGGAGGAGGATGAAATGGAAAACTCAGATCAGAGCTGAGGGGCAGGGCAGTTTGGAGGTGAAGACAGATTGCCCTCCTCTTTCCCCTCTAAGAAAAACTGCAGGTGTGGGAATTAGAACCACTCTCCCCAACAGGGTCGCTCAGGCTGTGCAAACTGGAAGACAGTAAATGGGGCCTGAGCTCCTGCTCTGCCATGATTTACAGTCTTATGCCAGAGCTACACAGGAGTCTGCCTTTTTCTAATTGTCCCATTAGCAGTCTTAGAACTGCAGCACCCAAAATGGGTGCTTTTCTTCTGGCTTAAAGGCGCCCCACAGACGGGTTGGGGAGGTGACCCAGGGGCCTTGAATTCTAGTGAGGGCTCTGCTACAGACAGGTTACATGGTTTTGGAACACCCTTGACCCTCTCTAGAGTCATGGGTGTGTGGATTTAGCTAGAGGCCACCTGGCTTGGTCCTACCAAGTCATGGACGAAGAGGGGAGCCTAGACAGGGTCAGCGCTCCCTGAGGGTCCGCAGGGACACACAGCAGGATTGGCTCCTCACCTCAGCGCTCCAGTGTCACCTTGGGTTGCTGGCTGTGTAGACCTGACTTGGTGCTCTGTGGGAGGAGGCACAGAGAAGAGGAAGGCGGAAGGGAGGAAAGGCAATGGCTCCTTGGGCAAAGGGGTCAAGGGTGGCCTGGCCTCCAGGCGCCCCTTCCTCCCTCCCTGGTCCCATAGGGTTGTCATTTGCAGATGTCAATTATTCATGAGCCTGTGCTTTGCTTGGTTTTAATGCACTCTGATGGTGTTCTCTAGCTAATGGGGAAAATCAATAGATTTTAATTCCTGGTGGTGGTGAAGCTCCATCTGTCTCCTGTTTGGGTGGCTGGGCTTGGCTGTTGGGGTGGGGTGGAGAGAGCACCAGGCGCTGTCTTCCTGCTATGTCCTCCTCTATTTCTGCCCCTAGCCTGGCAAGGGGGCAGAGTCACCAGGAGGCTCCAAAGTCTGCCCTAATCCTGGGGGGTCTGAGCCCTTAAACCTCAGCCATTTGCACCCCTTTAGGAGGGTTGGCGAGGCTGGTGTGGTGACACCACAGCACTCTGGGAAGCTAAGGAGGATGGCCACAAGTTCTAGCCCCCAAAATTAGTGACCGAATGAGATCCTGTCTTTTTTAAAATTAATTCTTTTTATTGCAAGCAAATGTCTAAACTAATTTCTCCACCTACTTTCTTTAGAAAGAAAGAAGAAATCAGCAGACTGAGGATACCCATTCAAGAACTGACATGATTAAAAAGTAAGATATAAATAGGTAACTCACAAGAGCATTAGCTTACAAAGACGGTGGAGTTAACTGCTACAAACACACTAGTTTTACACGTTTCGTGGGAGAAAGGCATGCAGACATAGCTACCTCCATATAGATCCTATTAGACAACCAGGTTTACAAGAGACCTTGTCTTAAAAAAAAGAAAAGAACAAGTTTGGCCCTGGGTTCAAAGCCCTACCCCTACCCCCCCAGGAGCTCCTCCTGGTCTCTGTGCCACACTTCTGGGCCAGACACACCAGCCACCCAGGACAGCTGGGGCCCTTTTAGGAGCTGGGGGGCAGGGGCAACTTCCCCTACCCATCACTTGAATCAGCCCAAGTGAACCTTAGGGGATGTGGGGGGAATCTGACAGATCCCACATTCTTGAAGCACCTTAAGTGTAGACTTCTGGTGTTACCTTGTGGGTAGTTACAATTCTAGAGTGAAAGCTTCTCTAATGGGCCTGGTGAGAACTGAGCTGTTCAGCTGCCATCATTATAGGCACCTCCCACCTCAAACCGCATCCTCTGAGTCCATGTCCTTTGTGATTCCTGTAATTGTCTCTGAAAAAAGTCTATCCTGTACTGTGTGTATGTGCGTGCTGAAGTGTTAATTAGGAAAACGTGAACATTCATGATACTCAGCAGTCAGAATAATGCTTTTGATATTTCTCAGTGTCTCCAAAGCCTAAGGAGCTTCCAGAAAAAGGGAAGAGGACCGAGATGTGTCAGCACTGGCAAGGCCCAGCCCGCTTCCTGATGGACCTGATCAAGGCCTTTCCCCATGGACCAGGGCCCATAGCTGGCTGGCTGAGAGTGCTCTGTCCATCTGAAGGGGCTCTGCTGAGGTTTGAGCCCAGTGCCATAGACCCAGGGAACCCCAGCCTGGCCTTGGAGGATGGTGACTACCAGGCCTCCCCTGCTCTGCTCAGCCCAGCCAGACCCAGCCAGGTCCCAGCAGACACCAGGCCCACACCCAAACTGCAAAGAAAGCTTTAGTTTTGTACTAGAGATTGAACCCAGAACCTTTGCACTGAGCTACATACATCCCCAGCCTTTTTGAGATAGAGTCTCATTAAGTTACTACATTGGCCAGGCTGGGCCTGAACTGTTTTTATTTTTTATCATATTTATTTATTTATTTAGAGACAGGGTCTCACTGTATAGTTCAGCCTGGGTCAGCCTAGGCTAGCCTTGAACTCCTGGCTATCCTCCTGCCTCAGCCTTCTGAGTACTGGGGTTTTAGGCATATATCACCAAACTCAGCCTTGTTTTTAACAACGGCTTATATTCTTTCTTCTTCTTTTTTTTTATTCCTTGAAACTGCCACTATTGATGATTTTTCCTGTATGAAAATGGAACTGAGCAGATTCTAACTATAAAATTATGATATAAACTTGCTTGATTTTCTATTTGACTGCTAATAAAACTTACAGATGCACAGTTCATAAAATAAGCCCTTTAAGGACTGAATCTGTAGAGCATGCTGCAAGGTATGAGAAATAACTAAAAATGAGTATATAAAACTATATCTGGGCCAATGCAGTACCAAGTGCTGGTGAATGTTTATCACAACACAGAAAAATTAATAAAGAGAGATATAGCTCAGTCCTGAGAGGGTTAAAAAGAGCCTTATTGTATCATTGCTTCTAACCGTCTGTCCCACAGTAATGCTTGAAAATAAGGTCAAAAGTCTGGCACAGAAAATTACATAATTTATTCAGTATTCATCAAGCACACGGTTGCCTCCTGCCTCAGCCTCCTGAGTGCTGGAATTACGGGGCGCACTACCACACGCAACTATTGGAAAAGGAGCTTTGAAGATGCAGGCTTCACAGTGAGGCTGACTTGGCTGGAGGCCCACTCTGACACTCCCTCACATCCCCTGGACTTTTATTATTAGTATTTCTTAGACAGGGTATCACTTTGTAGTTCCAGTTGGTCTTGAAGTTACTATATAGTCCAGGCTGGTCTCAAACTCACAGAGATCCTCCTGCTTCAGCCTCCTTGAGGGCTGGGGTTATAGGTGTGTATCACCACGCCTGGCAGAACTTCTCTCTTAAACTCAGGTGTTGGAGGTTGACTTGGTGCTCCCTGGATTCATGGCACATCATTATTCATGGTCTATGCAGGGCCATTGATATGAATATCAATTCATATTTGATTTCATTTTTTCTCTCATGGATGCTGAGGCAAAGGCGACTGAGATTGCCTCAATCCGCACTTTGTGGGGAAGGGTCACTGGGAAAATTATGAGCCAGAGCTGTGAAAGCCTTAGGATGGTACTGAGCTCACAGCAATGAGCAGTTAAGGGCCCCCTGTGTGCCCTGGCAAATTCTCTCTCCCCTCAGGAACCTGAGGCAGGGTTGCAACACCCTCCCTTTCGGCACATCTTTGGTGGGGGTGGGTGGGGAGTGTTCTTCAAAAACAGCTGAGCGCGGTGATGCACTCCTGTAATCCCAGCACTCGGGAAGCTGAGGTGAGGCAGGAAGATCATTGCAAGTTCGAGACCAGCCTGCGTTACAAGTGAGCCCAAGACCAGCCTGAACTGCATAGCAAGACCCCATATCAAAAAGAAAAAAAAAATCCTTCACTGAAGACCTGCGTGCTTCAGTGGGACACACTCTAAGTTGCCCCTAGTCAGAAT